CTCTCTCTCTCTCTCTCTCTCTCTGCTGCAGATCCTGGCTATACTTGAAGGCAAAGTGGTGGTCGGTCACTCTGTCTATAATGACTTTGAGGTGCTGAACATGGACCATCCCGGCCACATGGTCCGAGACACGAGTTCCACTCGTCTGCTGAGCCGACTGGCTGGCCTGCCCTGCGGACGCTGCTCTTCTCTGAAGCTGCTGGCAAATAAGCTGCTAAACAGGCGGATACAGGTGAGACTTATTGTAGATTATCTAAAGATGAACATTCTGGATCCAAAACATACCAGAATAGAACCGTTTCTGAGTGTCTCTGGGTCAGTTTACTCTTCCACAGCTCAAGCACAGTTTACCTACTTCTGTTTTATACCCAGTGATGCTCCAGTGCTTTAGGCCAGAGTTCAGGGTCCCTGCAGAAAATGGCGCGGCCTTCTGTAACGTTGCAACACAAGCTCTGTTTCCATTAATCAACAAATTGTAATTCTGAAAATAAATTTGCCAAATAGAAATGCTACAATTTCAAAAAAACAAAAACTAAATTTTCAATAGTTTTTATGCTCTAAGTAGTTTTTCAGGTGCGATGCAAACAGTTTTTTCACATCAGGTGAGTCACATGTTTTGCTACTTCACTACCTTGTATGAAGAAAAAGAAGAGCGGAAGTAGTTGGAGAGTGATTTGGATTCATGGGGGGGTGGAGTATTTTTTTTTACATTTCGATCAATATGATGAGCATTAGAGCCATGGCTGGATCTGTGGAAGTGTTAACATCCGCCGCTGCCATGTTGTTTTCATAAGTTATGGAAGAACAAACATGTTGATGTGCAATTTGATTTTTCGTATTCAAATGGAAATACTGCTATTGCTGAATGTTGCATTTCAAAATCAGCAGAATAGTGACAGTTTTGCTCACATTTGTAATGGAAACAACTGGAGACTCTCCTACAGGATGGGAATTGTTGAGAATACTGCAGTGAATAAACCATAACCTTCCTTCCTTATGAGACAGCATATTCTCCCATTCTGCAGAATCTGTTAGTTCAATCCCTAACGTTCAGCTGTCTCATTTTTTCTCATAGTAGCTTCATCTGGTCTGTTTGGCTGTGACTCCATCTTGGAGAGAAATATCAGCTGTGCTGCTGCCATCAACACCTTTGTTGCTAGATGTTGGAGCTTGGCCTGTTTTCCAGTGTAGTCCTGTTTCTCTGACTGTGACTAACTGGATGTGCTCTCTTCATCCTCTGACATGTGAGCTGGCTCGGATGATCTGCTGAACTGTAAAGTGCCTTCAGATGACGTGTTGTGAATTGGCGCTATAGAAATAAACTAAATTGAAATTGACACCAAGAGCATTAATCAAACATGGTGCTAATTTTACATCTCCGGGGGGAAAAGGGATTTTTCAGAGATGGAAACAAAGCACTGAGTCTCTGTTTGCTGGCTTATCACTGTCTGTGTGTGTGTCCAGGCTGGGAGGCGAGGCCACTGTTCAGTGGAGGACGCTCAGGCTGCCCTGGATCTCTACAAACTAGTGGAGGGCGAGTGGGAGGAAGAGATGGAGAGAAGGATGAGAGACGACGACGAAGCTGCTCCACAGGAGCCAGCCTTCCTCTCCTCTGATCACTACATGCAGGACGAGTTCTGGCCTGATGAGGTCCTGACAGACGGCCTATAAGGACAATTTATGATTCATTTAGTGGAAAATATCCCACTGAGGGTCCACAGTCACCCAAGGCTCAGATTTAACACATTATGGTGGATTAATTAATAAAAACGCATCATTAGCTGCGCTGCAGCCAACAGAGCAACAGTTTCTACATCACAACAACTTCTGGTTTTGATGCCAAACTTCAGATTCTAAAGATTTTTGTTATATTTATTTATTTGGATCAATGCTGAGGATGAATGGTTCTCTATCATCTTTAAAATGTTAAGTTATGAGTTGATCAATGAAAGTGATGCAGAGTCTGCAATGAATTTATCCTTCAATAGATATCAATGTTAGAAGATGTGGTAAACACCCTGCAGATCTGGATTTAGTTTATCTATATAGGTTTGTTGTTTTTTTTTGCAACAAACTATATATAAACTATGGTGTGAACATTGGAAAAGGTTCCTGTTACCTTTCTGTGGCTGGAAGGAGTCCAACTATTTGAAATCTGTTGCTTCCAGATGTTCTCACTGGCTGTAAACAGGTTAAACCTCCTAAACCAGAACCGTTCCAGTCGAGTTGTTTGAAATGCTTTGGTCATCTGTAGTTCAAATGTGAAATTCTTCCTCCATTACCTCTCATTTCATGCTGCCTGTTGGTGATAAATGTGATAAATAAAGCAGATTGGTTCAAACCAACGAGATGTTTCTTTGTTTTTATTCTCCTACATTTATATAGTTCAGATGGTCCAAAATGTTTATTTAATTTGAAGAAATCTTAGATCACAGCAATTTAAAAAGTAGGAATATAGAAGGTTAAAACAAAAAGCTGTTTTTTATACTTTGGGGACGTAACGTTTTGATAATAATGTAAAGGGTAGGAGCATATCAAATTATCTTACTTTTTT